TAGTGTAGAGGAAGGGTTTGTGCAGCGAAGGGAAGGTGAGATCAAAAGACTGGAAAAACTGTCATCAAGAAGATAAAAGAGAACATAATTACATGTAATGGATGAAACTTGATTGGATCCTAGTTTGGGGGGAGAAAAAAACATTATAAAAAGCAGCAGGAGCCAACTAGAAAGCAGATGACATTAGAAAACGACTGAGGCGTCCCTTAAGTGGGAGAGTGAACTTGAAATCTTCCGTTCTCTCTCCCTCTTTTCCTTCACACCCCCTACCCACCATCCCCTGACCCCATGCAACCCAGGCTCGCCTTCAGCTTGTGATCCTGCTGCTTCAGCTTCCTGATGCTGATCTTGTGTGTCTCTTTTCTTTTTCTTTAAAGATACATTTTACTATTATTCAGGAGTGTGAAATGGGGAAGCACACATTGAGCACAGGTGTATGTGAAGTCCAGAAGAGGGCATCAGCTCCCCTGGAGCTCAAGCTGCAGGCAGGCACCTGTGAGCTACCTGATGTGGGCATGAGGGAACTGAACTCTGGGTCTCTGAAAAAGCAGTATGTGCTTGTCACAATGGAGTCAACCCTGTAGCCCCTGATTTTTTGTTTCTGGTGGAGAAGGCCCTCGTTTACATCCATGCTGATGTTCTCAGGGGCAAAGGCTCACAATGTCTGTTGTCTTTAAAGAGCTTAGCAAAAGAAAAATGAAGATGGAGGCTTACAAAGGGAATGTGGCCAAAGCGAACAAAGGTATTTAGACAAAGACTTTCTAAACGCTACCTTCAACTCCATGCCTGAAATTTTCCTAATTCAAGAAAAGTTAGGGGCTGGAGAGATGATGGCTCAGAGGTTAAGAGCACTGACTGCTCTTCCAAAGGTCCTGAGTTCAATTCCCAGCATCCACATGGTGGCTCACAATCATCTGTAACGAGGTCTGACGCCCTCTTCTGGTATGCAGGTGTACATGCAGGCAGAACACTGCATACATAATAACAAGTCCTTCCTGGGCATCAAATGTGGCACATTAACACCTTGGACATGTGACCTCACCCCTGTCTTCCAGGGTTCAGCAGAGACATTCAGCTGCTGCTTTCCATGTACTTTACCATGCAAGGGTGCTTGGGGCCTTCACTGCTCTGTTTAGGCACTTCCAAGCCAAGCCAAACCCCCTAAAGGTTACCTAGGAAGACTGCATTAGTACAATCCCCACAGTAACTCGGGAGAAGTTCTAGGTTCCTAGAGGTCGGTATTTTTAACCATAGTCACACAGCTGGATGGAACCATGATGGAACAAGAATTTAAATCTAGTGCCTTGACTCTAGTATCCAATCCCCTACATCGGAAGAAGGTTGACAAGCCCCAGCAAGTAGAAAATGGGCACGTAGAGCTCTCACACTGTGAAAAACACCTAGGATCTCTCTCTGGGACGCAGCGACTTCAGAGAACGCAATGACTTTCATCAAGCTGTCAGGCGTGCTATAGGGCAACAGGGGTTTACCACGAAGGTAAGCATGTGTGACGCGGTTCACCCGATTTGAGCATGTCACCCCAGACAGGCCTGCTCTGAGAAGCCCTGAGTTCCCCAACACTACGGTTAGATTAAGGCCGGGCTATGCTCTGAAGTGCTCTCTCCTCATAGCTGCGGCCAACTCCCAACAAAGCCTTGTTCCACCGCAGGTGCCCTTGTCCCTTTTGGGTGCATGACTGTTCTAACCTGAGGTATAAATTCCACTCCTTACAACTCACCCATTAAGTGGACAACTGGACAGATCTTGCCAAATGTGTGTGACTAACTACCAACGCAGCCACATTTCTGAACGTTTCCAGTTTCCCCTCAGCTTCCTTCTCTCCTCGGTGCTGGCTTCTGCGGGACTAGCTGCTTGGTCTTCCGTGGATCCTGTGCACTCAGGAGAGTTTGGGTCCCGGGGTCACAGAGCTGCATTTGAACTGTGTCCAGGTGGCTCCAGCAAGTCACGTTAACTACTTCCTCCCGACGCTCGTTTACATTGTATGTACATGTAAGTGGGCATGGGCACGCATGCCATGGTACACATATGAAAATCAGAGGATAGCTTGAAGATGTTTTTTATTTTTTTCTTTCCACCACATAATGGGTCTGAGAGGTGAACTCATGTTGTCCTGTCTGCAAGCACCCTTCCCAAGTCATCTCACTAGCCCTTTTCTTTCTGCTCTTCCTCTCCCTCCTTCTCCACTCCCCCTCTTTTGAGGAAGGGTCTCACTGTGTAGCACGAGAGGCCTGGAACCCTCAGCAGCCCTCCCCAGTACACGGGCCTCTTTCTCTCCCTTTGTAATGCAGATGCTATCTGTGTGCTCTGCTGGGGAAGAGGCTTCTGACATCTTCATTGCTGCCCTCAATGCTCTCTTCTTCGATGTCTGCTTCACCTTTCTCTTCCAGGCACTCCTGTTTACTGGGTCACTCTTGCTGCCAGGCCTTACTACCTGCAAGCAGTGATGGAGTCCTCTCCACTCCGAAGGCCCATAGCTCATTTGGCGGGGAGAGGAGGCGGGCGGCACTGGTAAGCTGGGGTGAAGCAGAAGCGCCACCTAGTGGCAAGGAATAAAAGCAAGCTACGTCAGCAGGGGCAATGCTTGTTTCCCCGGGGAAGACTTGTAGACAGGGTATCTATCCCATGACACCCATTAGAGAAGATGACAAGGGTGTGAGTGAAAAAAAATGAGAACACTTCACAGTATGATGATCCACCAAATCTCCAGACACTTGAACAGTGAGCTTGAGGGTATGGAGGATTGGGGGTGGAGCTGGGCAGTGACTGCCAAAAGAACTCTTAAAAAAAATGTGTACAGGTGTTTTGTTTTCAAGTATGTCTGTGCACCATGTGTACACCTCGTGCTTTCAGAGACCAGAAAAGGGTACAAGACCCCCTAAGAGTGGAGTCAGAGACAGCTGGGATGCTGGGAATCAAACTCAAGCCCTCTGGAAAAGCAGCCAGTGCTCTAAACCGCTGAGCCATCCCTCCAGCCCTGACATCGTCTTTCCTATAGAAAAGACTTTCAGGCTGGAGAGGTGGCTCAGTGGCTAACAGCACTGGCCTCTCTTGTAGAAGGTCCAGGTTCAATGCTCAGCACCCACGTGATGGCTCACAACCATCTGCAACTCTAGTTCCAGGAGGTCTGATGTCTCCTCTTCTGTCCTCTGTGGGCACCAGGCACAGATGCAGTACATAGACATACATGCACACAAAACCCCCAAACTCATAAAACAGAATTTAAAAGGGGCTCAGCAGTTAAGAGCACTGTCTGCTCTTCCAGAGGTTCTGAGTCCAATTCCCAGCACCCACATGGTGGCTCACAACCATCTATATTGGGATTTGATGACATCTTCTGGCACGGAGGTGTACATGCAGATAGAGCACTCGTAATTAAATTTTTAAAAAATAAATCTAAATAAATAAATAAAATTTAAAAAAGGAAAAGCTCTCAAAATCACAGTATGGACATCCACATCCATGAATATGCTAATCACCACTGGACACTTAAAAGCCTCTCCATAGCCCATCATGAGGGCTTCCATATACTGCAGAACAGTGTCTACCGGATGCCTGCCAGGGATCCAACATCACTTTGTTCACATGAGAAATCTTTGAAACCGACTGCAATACTCTTCCTGTCCTAACACTATGGAAATATCAACCACTGAGGAATAATGTTTAACGGATCAAATTACATGCTCTACAACATGCTGGTAACTCACAGGCTCAACCATTCGTAACATCCTGTGCACTGACATTCACAAGGGCCTGTGCCCCAGATAAGCCCCAGGATGGTTTCCAGGACAGGAGGGTAAGGACCCACTGGTAGGTGGGTGCTCTGTGTCCTCTGTTCTCCTTCTGACCAGGAGACCAGTATCATGCTGCAATAGCACCCCCACCCTTCCTAGGGTGATAGAGTTCATGTCACCTGCCGCCTCACCCGGTGCTTCTCAAACAGCTGGCAAGCAGCTCCCCAGGCCCTATCCTCAGAGACAGAGCAGGTGAGGGATCTCGAGGGAAAGAAGGGGCAGCAGGTGCCAAGAGACACGAGGCTTCTTTTGGTGCTGATGAAAATAATCTAAAATTGGTAGGAGCTACTCTGTGAATATACTGACTCACTGAACTGTACAATAAAAATAAAAATAAAAAACTGAAGGAGGTAGGTTGGGCCCCCACCGTCTGCTTTTCATAGGAGCATTTGGGCCGGTCTTGTTGCACTGAGCATGCTTAGAAAGGACAAAGCTCTCAGCAGCTAAACTGTATACATCGCCAGTAGTGCAATGAACATTCTGCAAGATAATTTTTTTTGTGTGTGTAGCCTTGGCTGGCCTTGAACTCACAGAGATCCACCTGCCTCTGCCTCCCTCTGCTGAGATTACAGGCATGTCCTACCACGCCCGGCTCTATAAGATAATTTTTAAAGAAAGAAAAACCTCACAGCCCACATTTACAATGGCATGGAACTTTTTTTTCCTTAGTATAACTTTGTTACCAATGAATGAGATTTATATAAAGTTCAGCAGCTATGGCAACTCTCCCATGCTATTATTAGTGATGCTGGCCTGTGGGGGACACCATCAGTGCTGCTGTCTGTCCTTGGTTGGATATCTGCAGAAAGAGCAGAGCAGGACATTCAAAGGCACGTAAGAAATCCTCACCTGTCTGGGATCAGTACTGGTGTCTCAAGTTGACAGGTTCACACACACCAGTGCTAACAGGGAGTGGCTGCAGAGCAAGGCAAGCTAGACTCGAGTGTGGCTCTCAAAGACCTGGTCTCTGTTGAGAACCACCATAGTGAAATAACCTGACTGACGCTTTACTGGTGCCTCAGTTCTAAAGCCACGTGAGAGTCATGAGGTGGAAGTGCCAGGAAGGAGGTAGGCAGGGATCTGAGGGTGGGCAGCACCTCCTGGTGTGTCCTGTGTGTCCTGAGGTTTTAAGAGAAAGTCAGAAATAAGCGGACTTGACCCAGTTCAGACATCTAGAAGGACATGGTCTCCTACTTCCCAAATAAGTTCTTTATTGTCTAACCAATCACGGCGTGTTTACTGCGGCCTAGCACCAGGCCAGGCACACTAAGCATAGTTACAAAGGGTAAGAGACTCCCAGCCAATGGGAGGCGTACAATTTCAACATTTCTCAGGAATTCATCTGTGGTTAAAAATCACATCTGGACTTGGTCGCCAGTATTGCAATGAACATTCCTTAAGATAATTTTTAAAGAAAACAACACAGTCCACATTTACAATACATGGAGTTTTTTGTTTTTTTTTTTTTTTCCCCTAGTATAACTTTGTTACTAATGAACAAGATTTATTTAAAGTTCGGCTTGCATTCCCCTTCCTGTAAGAGGAATCAAAATTTTCTGAAAGGAGTTTTAAAAGGTTAGGTGGTAGAAGAGCTTAGGTACAAATGTGGCCAAGAGCTGTGTGGCCAGAAGGGCTTAGCGCTGAATCCAGCTCCTCTCAGGGCCTTCCTATGTCTCACTCACTATCTGCAGGACAACACAGCACAAATTTCCGAGCAGCTCTTCAGGCGCCACTGCTGTTGAGGAGGGAGTCCATGCCGAAAGAACGATGTATATAAAAGATACTTCTCCAAGTAAAGTTTAGCACCAAGCCAGGGAGGGCCAGGGGTCACCGGGAACTTCACCTCCTATGTTATAACCTCCTGCTTTTCTCAGACTCTCAGAACTCATGGATGTACAGTTCTAGAAAGATTCTAGCTAAAAGCCTACAACAGACTAGGACAACTGGACACAGTGGCAGCTCCACCCAGGAGCAACTGTCTGCTTCCTGTGAAGAACACTCAGCGCAGAGCAGGAAAGTGGGAGCAGCAGCCTCGAGGGCGTGCGACAGTGATGCCAGAGCACAAGAGGCACCTCACTTCACTTCCTCCAGCAGACCTTCACTCCACTGCGGACCATGTGGCTGGGGAAGAGTCCTGGCCTCCTGTTGGGCCAGCAGCCCACAGGGTTTCCATTTGGCAAGTAAAGGGCAGGCTGGAAACTTCTCTAGTGTTACAGTCTTGATACTCTAGTGGAAAAGGTCACTGATTCCTTGGACTAAAACAAGCTAAATGAGTCATTTCTGAACTAACAGCTTTGCGGAAGAGTTCCCCTCTGAACCTCTTCACGCCTTCGGTCAAAATGTTTCTTCTTGTTGCTTTAAAGCACTACAAGTAAGCTGATAGCTTTGGCATGAAGGGCAAGAATGACAGGTCCTTCCTTTCTTTTTACAGAAGGACACTGAAGTCCAACGGAATTCCAGGTGCGTGGAGGATGCCAGACCCAGGATCGCAAGAATGGGACCATGTCCTGCTCCAGCTCTCTTCTTTTCCAGCCTAGAGACACTCTGACTATCACATCCAGGGGGGGCCTCAGCAAAAATGACCATCAAAGCTAGTGAAATGGAAGGTAGCATTCAAATGTAACACTGGTTTTCTTAAAATGGAGTCCTGGTTTTTGTACAGCGTGTTTAAGGCACGGTGTGAGAAAGCTGCCCCCACTCCCAGCCGCACAGCCCCAAGGGCTCTTCACACGCTCACATGCACACAGGAAAGGCCAGCTGGCTTTGCCACAATGCATGGGGAAGGGGTTGCTTCTGATCACTTCTGGTTTTTGAGCTGGTTGGAGAGCCAGTCCAGGCCTTCATAAAGCCCATCTCCACTGGTGGCACAGGTAGCTTGAATGTACCAGTTTCTCTGGCGAAGGGAATGTAAGCCAAGCTTGTCTGTGATCTCTGCTGCGTTCATAGCATTAGGAAGATCCTTAAAGAAAACAAGCAAACAGATTACCAACCTATACTCATGCAATACACCAGGATCTTCCTCTAAAACATACCCTGAGCCACAGGCCCTAACCAAGTTGGTCAGGCTCCAAAGCTTCCACACAACAGGAAATCCCAACAGTCCTACCATCAGAATTTATGGTATTTCTGAATCTGACCACCTCTCACCATCTTCTCTGCCACCTCCCGATCTGATCCCACCACGGTTTCTCACCTGGATAACGGAAATGACTTCCTCACTGGTCAGCCTGCTTCTGTGCTTGCCCCTACCTCCTATTCTCAGATCACATCCTCCTAACCAGAAGCATACCAAAGTGCCCCCTTTCCCAGAGAAGAGCCAAAGCCACCACCATTGCCTGCCAGTCTTTGGGGCCTCTCCTTACTGACCCATTTTGTCTCTTTCATCACAGCATCCAGACGTGTAACCACATGATAGACGTTATTTACTCTGTGTATTGACTCTACACTACATCTCCTTTACCTAGAATGTAAAGCAGGAATCTTTCTCTTTGCTTTGACCCATACCAGGAGACACAGTGAGCTGAAACTAAACTAGTATATACTAGCATTGAAGGAAGATCTAGGTGTACTGGTATGGAAGAATGTCAAATATATGCTAAGTGAAAATACGGGCTGCAGAACAATGCATATCATAATCTCTGGAATCTCAATAGGTGTGCAAGGCAATCCCAGCACTCGGGAGGCAGAGGCAACTGGAGCTCTGTGAGTTCCAGGCCAGCCTGGTTGACAAAGTGAGTCCAGGACAGCCAAGGCTACACAGAGAAACTCTGTCTCAAAAATAACAATTAAATAATAATAATAATAATAATAATTAGGTATGTAATCACACATAAATGCTTACATAGGCAGACAGTCTTATCTCTGAAAAGAGAGATAAGAAATCTGACCTTTTTTTAATCTGACAATAAAGCTAGAGGAATGGAAGGTACCATTCAGAATGTAAAACTGGCTTTCTTTAAATGGAGTACTATTTTTTGAGCAGCCTGTCTAAGTCACAGTGTGAGAAAGCTGCCCCTACTCCCAGCCACACAGTCCCGAGGGCTGTCCACATGCTCACACACAAAAAAATCTTTCACTTGACATTCTAAACTTTTCAAATTTTCACCCTGGACTTATTCTGTTTTTATCATTAAAAACAAAGCTATTGTGTTCTTGCTTAAAGCCTGTAGTGTCCACTAGTGAAACTGCCTGGCATCCTACCAGCACAGCGGGGGACCAGGTGAGTGAATCATGATCATCCACCACAGGAAGCCATGTTTACAGAGTGGAGGTGACAAGAACCGCAACTGATCAGTCTGAAGTGACAAAACTGGCTGCGGCACTGCCATTACAGTGTAATATCAGCAGCATAAGGACTAGAGAAAGAGGATGCACAGCTCTGTGAACAGAGGTCGCCTCCCAGAGTCCCCACTCCGCTTTCTCTTTGGAGTTGGATCAGCTCAGATCCAGAGGCTGGGCAGTTCTGCACCAGCTGTTCCCCACATTTCATGGCTTTTCCTTTCTAGATGAGCCTCTTCCTTCCCAACAATAGGCCCCAGAGGATCCAATCTTCCCTGTGTCCACCCCCTCATTCTGCTTCTGGAAGCTGTGGCTCCCTTGCCTCCTGGCTGAGATGTAAAAGGTGTGCCCAGCACTTCCCACAGCCACAACAGACATATTAAATAATCTGTATCCCCTGCCTCCTCCCAGTACAGAGTAAACACAAATGCAGGAGCTTCTGTGTCTTGTTCCCTGCTAAGTACCCAATACCTGCAGCAAAGCCTGGAACTTAGCAGATGTGCCATTAGTATTTACGGAGTGACTATAAGACATTCTAAAAAGGAGATGGAGGAGAGCTATGGTTAGGACTGGTAAGGAGGAGGCGGGCATCTAATTTAAGTATCTACACATTCAAATGAGCCATCTGGCAGTAAATTTCAGTCTCAGTGTTCAAAAAGCTAACAACCACATACCTGTTTGTTTACAAACACCAATAAAACTGCATCTCTGAGTTCGTCTTCTGCTAACATTCTGGTTAGTTCTTCCCGGGCCTCATTGACCCGCTCTCTGTCATTACTGTCAACCACGAAAATCAGACCTGAAAAGAATTCCCAAGCATATTAGTAACATGAGCCTAGAGAGAGCAGCCGTTCACATGTCCACACAGCTGCTCCCTGCTCACAGTGAGGCTCTACTGAAGGTAGACAACAAGAATATGGTGCAGGATTGTGATCCCAGCAGTCTGGAGGCTGGGGCAGAAGTATCACCCATGAGTTTCAGGTCAGGCTGAGCTGTTAATGTATAATGAGACTCTGTCTCCTTGTCTTTTCTTTTTCTTCATTATTCTTTTTGGAAAGTCTATACAATCTCCAAAGTCAGGAAGCTCATTGTTCATTCATCTCACCTATCTTGTTCAGAAGGATCACAGCCCTCCAACAGGTTAACCAGAAGGAACAGAGAAACGTTAGGCCTAGTTATTAGTCAGTGCAGTTCCACCTCAGAGGGGAAAAGGATTTAAGAAGAACATGGTTTAGACAACAAACAGTGTCTGAGACTGAACTGAAGGCCTAGGAGTAGGTATGTTGTCCTGGAAGTGGTCCCAGGACAGCAGGTGTGAGGATTTGCGGGAGGAAAGGACTGAAGGGAGGACAGTCAAGGTAAAAATGAGGACTCAGGTTGGCAACTCCCAGGTACACAATGTTGGATGCTATTGGACATTCCAAGCCATATGAGACAAAAGGGGAAACTGTCCTTTCACATATACCCAAGAGGCACCTGAAAGCTACACAACCCTCAGCATCTGTAGGTCATAAGTTGTGAGAATGTCACGAGAGTCTGTGGGCTCCTGTAGTAAAGAATTTGATGGCGCTTTTGCCACCAGAACTTCTATTGGGAGAGGAGTCTTTGATGGTGGGGGCCCGCCCCTGCTAGTTTATACTAGTTTATAAGACTGCCTCTGGGGAAGGGAGGGAGGGTGGGGTCTGACACACATGGCCCAGTGATTCACTCCATGTGCCTCGGTAACGAAGTCCCAATAAAACAAGGTTCACATGTTCACAGGAGCTCACATAAACTTCCCTGGTGCCAGCACTTTACTGTCTCACATCCATGTGCCCACAGAACAGGTGCTGCTCCCTGAATTTTGGGCAGTGGACAACAGAAGCTGTGGGTGACAGGTACCCTCTCAGGTCCTTCCTGTTGACTGCTGCATTTATGTCCTTTTGATGTAATAAAACTGTAATTTCAAGTATAGCTCTGCCCTGAGTCCTGTGAGTCATCCTCACAAGCTATTAAACCTACTAGTACAGTGAAAACTGCCAAATTATAACCATTCAGCAGGAAGTAAGAGTGGCTGGTGTACCCCAATCCTGCCATAGCTGAGAACAGACATCATCATAAGAGTGTGTCCTTAACAATCAAAATAAGATTGTGTCCCTAAACTGTGAAAAGCAGCCTAGCTCTGGGCGGTGGATGTCAGAGCCTTGTAGTTCCTACTTGATCAGCAGAGAAATTCCAGGAGGTGAGAAACCCAACGCAGGCTGAAGGAGGCACCACCGTGAGCACCACGTCACACCTAAGGGAAAACCTGTAGAGACTTGCCACACTGCTGGCGGAAGCAGCAAGGCAGGAAGAATCTGCAGGGTGAGCACAGACTAGGGAAGAGCTCCGCAGTCAGCATTCCACGTGACAGTAACAGTAACAAGTCGGTATGTGGCTGAAAGGAAGACCTTTGAGACAAAAATGTGACGCAGCTGTCTAAAGAACTCACTAGATACTAGACTCAGCTGCCAACAATGACGGCTATTCCATTTCTGGGACATAGGTGAAAACAAGCAGATTCTTCTGGACATCAATCCGATCATCCCAGGGAATATTACACTGCCAGTGTTGAAACCAAACACTCTTAAATCACAGGTACATGGGAGGTCTCAAAGAGCTAGCAGGACAGCAAGGTATCAGGCGCCAGGTCAAGTGATACAACCAGGAAAACCACCTGGAAGAGAACACTTGGTAAGAGACTGATAGCTATCTGCAGATATCAGAAAGGCCACCAACCGAGTCAAGCCAGGTGCCTTGTAGGGCTCAGGGAGGAGACAGAAGATGAGCACCAAAAAGCCACAGGAAGTCCACAGGGCAGAGCAGAAGGACTGAAGATGAGATACTAAGAGGACCCTGGTAGAGGTGTCTGTGCCAGCCGAGGGCACATTTCATGGGGACACTGCAGGAGGAGAGACTCTGGTCAGATGACAGAAATTTCATGACTGTCCAAGAGAGAAAAACCACGCCTGGCCCTCTGCCCTAGCCTCAGTGTGTCCCAGGCCTTCCAGCCAGCCTACCCAGCAGAACAGCACTCTCAAGGCTTAAGAGTTTTCATGTTGAGTCAAAGCTGTGTCTGATATATCATATCAGATTAAAAAGGGAGCACGCAAGCCCCATCCACACAGGTTTGGTATATGACCCGAAGTTCCAGACTCCAGTTCTAAGTACAGCAGCTGATGTGGAAATTCAAGCACAGCCTTAGCTGCCAATGCAAAACCCACAGAGTAGAAATGACTGTTCTCGCTTTGCTATTCCTAATGCAAGTAAAACTTTATGTCCTTTACCATATACTTATGGAGGACCATGAGTTTCAGGCAAGCCTGACCTATATAACAAGACCCCATCAAAGGATGACTGTCTAGCATATGCAGGGTTCTAGGTTTGACCTCAGCCTTGCCCCTCACCTTGAAAAAAAATGAGGAAGGTAGGGAGACTACATGTATTACATTTATTATATTATCTACACTTGTAGAAATAAGTACGTGTAGATACAAGAAATAAAGGTGGTTGTACAGGGGAGGTAATCTGAGAAACAAAACTTCTTTTTTGTATCCCTTTCTCTTTTCTTTTTTTGATTCAGATAGATTGCCATTCAATAATTAAGTAAATGGTGGTGGCACATGCCATCAGTCCCAGCACTTGGGAGGCAGAGGCAGGAGGATCTCTAAGTTTAAGGCCAGCCTGGTCTACAGAGCGAATTCTAAAACAGCAAGGGCTACAGAGAGAAACCCTGCCTCAAACTGCCATCCTCCCCACCAAAAAATGAACCCAAAAATCAAAGAGAAAAATGACATCAAAACTAAAGAGTCATTTTCTGCACTTTACAGTAATCAGTTAGGAAATCAGATGGTTTACATTCTAGTCTACACAGGTAAACCAATATGGGGCTGGGAGTGACTAGGACCTCCTGCATACCAGAAAAGCATTCTAGCCCTGAGCTCTGAGCTCCAGCCTCTGGCGTTTTTATTTTGAAACATCTCACAAAGTTGACAAGGCTGGTCTTGAACTTATTCAGCAGCCCAGGCAGACCTTGAACTTGTGATTCTCCCTGGGCATTCTGTGTATTTCAGGCCTATACCACCAGGCCTCCAGCTTTTGATGTCTTAAAAGAGAATTACAGGCATTCATTAAGTTCTGTCATACTCAATAGACTGATAAAAAAATTAAATTAAAAAACATCCTGACCTTTGGGAGGTTCGCAGACAGAGCAGGGGCAGCATCCAAGACTACTCACCGATGAGACATGCGGCCAGAGATGGCAAGTCTATTCACACAGCTCCCACTTGCTATTTCATGAGGACCACCCCTCACTCCCAGAACATAGCTACTTCCCTCCATCAAAGCAACGGTTATTGCAAATCTATAAAATTATGTTTGTTATAAATAGAAGACTGAAGACAAAATGTACCTCAGCTTGATACTTAAATGTGAAAACTAAATAAGGTGAAAAAGAAATGTGGGCAGAAAATACTGTTCGTCTGGGATTTTGAGTGTTTCTGCCTCTTAGCCACACAAGTGAGCACTTTACAAAATTAACCTCATTTTTCAGCCCAGGGATTTGGGCAGCAGGCTTTATCCTCTTTTTAAGATGAGGGAATAGAGGCAGAAAAAAAATGACCTTTCCCAAGGTCAACCCAGCTGTTCTAGTTTATTACTGATGAAAAGGTACAAGGTGGCCAAGTTGCCAAGCACCAGTCCAAGAAAAATATACACTCTAGGAAGCATCAAAATATGTATCCCACAGCTGGGCATGGTGGCACATACCTGTAATCTCAGCACTTTGAGAGGCAGAGACAGGCCGATTACCGTGAGTTCCAAGCTCCATGTTTAAAAAAAAAGTATCCTATTTGCAACACATTAAATCACAATGTAAAAATCTACACATCACCAAGGAAGTGATGTGGCTTCTCTGAAAATAAAGACTGAAATAGTTTTCCTGATTTCCTTAACTAGAATGTATTCAGGAAATTCCTTATTTAAAAGGATTTCAGCAGTCAAATAGAGATAGAGGAACAAGGGGTTGGGGGAGTGGCTGGATGTGCTTGCTTAGCAAGTATAAGGCCCTGGGTTCAACTCCCAACACCACGAAGAAAAACAATAAAAAGTTCCAGGCCAGCTTGGATTAGGCAGGGCCTCCTCTCACAGTTAATACAATTTAAAGAAACCACCATTTTGTGACTGCTAACAAAACAAGAGAGTTCTCAGCATCCTTCAATGAGCAGTAGGCTCACGTGGTAAAAGGCGAATAGGGAGCTTCATCCGGGAAATCAGGCTGACAGCACCTGAGCACAGTGGCTGCCTGGGGCTCAAGGTGGGAGAGAGCTGGGTGCTGGATCTCAGTTTATAAGGTGAGGCGGCTTTTGAAGACGGGCAATGGTCATGATTGCACAGCATTGTAATTTAATACCAATGGCCTGTATGCTTCAAAGTAGATTATATGTCTAGTAGATGAGTCTAGGGGCTCAGTGGCAGAGTGCTTACCCATCATGCTTGAGGCCCTGGGTTTAATCCTCTAGCAATAACAAAACAGAACAAAACTGGCTAATTCAGCTGGGGTGGCTGCAGTGGCTCAGGAAACATCCTGAGTTTCAAGCAAGCCTGGACTACATATAACAAGTGTGTATATATATATACATGCACACTCATATACACACACACACATACAATATGACAGTAGAATACAAGTGCAAAACAATAGAAAAACCTTTCACCCAGTCATTCTGCTCCTAGGCAAATCAAAATAACTGAAGGAAGAACTCTGCTGAACCAGTGGCACACACTATAACTCTAGCACTCAAGAGGCAGAGGCAGGAAGACCTCCAATATCCACAGACACATGTTCACGATAGCATCCTCGGAAGCAACCCAAATGTCCATCAGTAAATGAACAAGCCAGATCTTGTGCAGTTCACCTGGAATCCCAACACTGAGGAAGACCATCTGAGTTTAGGAGTTGAAAACAGAACAGTACCGGCAACACAGTCAGGCTCCAACTCAAGAGGGGGCATGCATGGTGGTGCACAGCTGTAATCCGAGCAGACAGGCAAGAAGATCGGAAGTTCAAGGCCAGCCTTGGCCACATGAGTTTGAGAGCAGCTTGGGCTACACGAGACCCTGACTGTGATAGTTCCAAATGACAGTATTATTCAACAAGAATGAAGCCAGGTGTGTGGCACTCACAGCACTTGAGAGGCAGATGCAGGAGGTTCTCTGTGAGCTCCAAGACAGGAGGATCTCTGTGAGATCCAGGACAGCTTGGAAGTGATATAAGTCTATGAAGAGTGTGTTTTTTAAAAACCGTAAAAGACCTCATCAGTTGGAAATGAGCACTGAAAGAATGTGTGAGTCAAAGGCATCACAACTGGGATGGCCAAGTGTTAACTAGAGAGACTGAGTGATGAGCGCAAGGGTTCATCACAGAATTACCTCTCCCTTTGTGTACTTTTAATTTTCCACTAAAGAAAGCATTAGGACTTGGTATGTACCAGCTCAGCTGACAGAATGCTTGCCCAGCGAGAACTAGGTTCAATCTATAGCACCAATAAAGCTGGGTGTGATATCACACATCTGTAATGCAGATGCCAGGAACTGAAGGCAGGAGGGTCAGAAAGTAAAGGCTAACTACATTCCAAGTTTTGGGTCACCCTAGGTTACAGATGAGATCTTTTCTCAAAAGAAGAAAAACTTAAAAAACAAAACAAAAACCAAAACCAAAAACCCCGCCCTATTTTGAGGAAAGATATTCTAAAATCTACAAGCTGAGAAAATAACTACAAATAGGGTTACATGTCAAGTGTAACAGCGAAAAGAACACTGTTGAGATATAAAGGAACAATAAACCTTGGGGTTTGGTCCTAAAGGCTCTTTAAATACATGTAACAAAAACTCCATCAGCTTTGAATATATCCTAAGCAACTCCAAAATGAGTAAGTAATTTGTAGATGCCATAAGGTAAAGATTCTACATGGGAACCAGGGTGTGAAAACCATGTGAACAGTCTGTTTAAACTGGCAAGGCCCAGGAAGGGAGCATTTACTGGAAATACAGCCATGGGAAACACAAATGGATTAGAACTCCTTCCCAGAACTCACTGATAGGGAAACAAGGAACCGATCCCAGTGGGCTTCCATGCCTGCTCATGAACAAGAGGGACTACATCAGGAAAGCATTATGGCCAAGATGACAGGATTTGGGGTTCCAGCCCCCCCCCATTCACCCCTTTCCCTCTGGATGTGATTTTCAGATATTCTCAGCAGATTGAAAGGAGTTGACTGAATTCAAATTCTTCAAAAACTGGCACTACATCTAAGAGCAAAAATCCCTCCATTAACAGAAAGATAAAATCCATTTGGCTAACCATTTTCTAACCTTTCTGCATTAAACGGAGTTAAAAGCCAAGTCCTTTTTCTAGGACATGCCTGGGAGCCGTGTCACAAAGACACCTCCCCAGGAAGTGCAGACACAGCTGGCCACTAATAAAGCAGAGCGCCAGCAGGTATCCCTGTCTTCAGACACTTTCAGTGCTCACACCTCCAATCTTTACCTTGAGTGTTCTGGAAATAATGTCGCCACAAAGGTCTGATTTTGTCCTGGCCACCAACATCCCAGACTGTGAAGCTGATATTTTTATATTCTACTGTCTCCACATTGAAACCTATAAGTAGGAAAGATAGAAATACTTTTCATTAGGATTTTCACTAGTTCAACAATTCAAAGTAACTTCCATTAACATTTGAATAGGACTTTTAATTTATAAGCAGTTTGTAAACCAAAAAGTTATAGATCTCAGAGAGAAAGTTCTCAGTCTGCAATTCTATGAGCTTTGATCACCCACCCCAACACTCATGTAATCATCAACTCCCAGCTCTGCTTCCCTAACAGAAGGCCTTCCAGGATGCTTCTGGACAAAGAAGCCATCCACGGAAGTGGTATCCATTTCCCGTTACACAGTGTAAGAATCTACTCACTTCTTCTCCACCATATTTGCCCTCCATCTTAGAACACTGGAAAATGTCTGAAAAGTATGTAATAACAATTCCCTCTTCTTGTGTGTTGGATTCAAACCACGCAGACAATCTGAAGACTTGTACATTATCACTAATATCACCTCTATTTGAGTCATCTCCAACCTGTCCTCAGCATGCCTGTATACTTCATATTTTACATCTTAAAAAACAAATCTAAGGGGCTGGAGAGATGGCTCAGAGGTAAAGAGCACTTGGTTGCTCTTCCAGGGGTCCTGAGTTCAATTTCCAGTAACCACACCCATCTTTATTGAGATCTGGTGCCCTCTTCTGGCATACAGGTGTACATGCAGATAGAGCACTCAGATACAGAAATTAATTAATTAAAAAAGAAAACAAATCTAAACTGGGTGTGGTAGCACATGTCTGTAATCCCAGCAATCCAGACAGAGGAAGGCCGATGAGTGATGAATTCTTTCTAATAATACCTGAATAAGGTTCAAATAAATACATCAGGAGGAGTGCAGGAAGATACCTCTAATTGACAACTTAGTACACAACAAGGCAGTCCACATTAGCATGGAAAAGTTACTCAGTAAACGTTGTTGGGCAAGTCCAATACCCAACCAATGGTCAAGTATCTATTCTTCAAAATTTGAGTTATTCTTACTTTTTTGCCTGTGTATATATATGTACATACATTTACATCTGGTGCCCAAGGAGAGCAGAAGAGAGTACTGGATCCCATTACAGATGATGATGAATCCTCATGTGTGTGCTGGGAATTTAAACCTGGATCTTTTGTAATACCAGCAAGTGCACTTAAATGCTGAGCCATATCTCCAGTCCTTATTTAATTTTTTTAATAAAAAATGTAAACCTTATGAAGTTAGTAGGAGGAAATACTAGCTAATATTTTTATGATCTCAAAAAGAATGGCTTAAGCTGGGTAGTGATGGTGAATCCCTTTAATCCCAGCTCTTCGGAGGCACACAGGCACTCAGGTCTTTGTGAGTTCAAGACCAGCCAAGTCTATTAGAGCGAGTGCCAGGCCAGCCTACACAGAGAAACCCGGCCTCAAAAAACAAAACAAAAACCATAAACAGAAAACAAACAAACAAACAAACAAACAAACAAACAAACAAAGAGTTGTCTAAAGATACTATAAAACTCAGAAGGAAAAAAATATAAATTTGGCTCTCTAATAATTTAAAATTCCCTTATGTTAACATAGCAAAAACTACGGTTGAAAGACTACATTTATCAACTAGAAAATAAGCATCTGACAAGAGTTCTTCATGATCTAAATTACCCTTCTTTAAATTAGTAAGAGACAAACATCAAAACAAACAAACAAAAAAACAACTGAGCATTAAAAATAAAAAACAAATCAGAGAAGAGCAAAAGAAGACATTTAGCAGAGCAATGGTGGCACACGCCTTTAATTGCAGCACTTGGGAGGCAGAGGCAGGCAGATATATCTCTGTGAGTTCAAGGCCAGCTTGGTCTAGAGTTCCAGGACAACCAGGGCTCTAGACACAGAGAAACCCTGTCTCAAAGAAAAATTAAATTTATTCACCTATAATGAAAACACAGAAGGCAGTGTTTTCTCCCTATCAGATGGCAGATTTATGCTTTTCACTGTTGGTGGAACAATCTTTTTGGAAGAATAGTCTGTCAACCTGTATATACACTTTAAATACTCAGCTCTCATCAGAAGCCCTCCTCCAGAGATTACTGCAAAATTACATTACCTTATAGAGATTACATGAAGTACATGTTTGCAAAAGTATAAGACAGGGCTGGAGAAATACTCAGTGGTTAGAGCAATGACTGCTTTTCCAGAGGGTTTAGTTTTAGCTTTTCCAGGGTTTAGTTCCTAACACCCACATGGCAGCTCAAAGGTGTCTGTAACTCCAGTTTCAGGGGATTTGATGCCCTATTCTGGCCTCCAAAAGCACCAGGTACACAACTGGTGTAAACATACAAATATCCATATACATAAAAAGAATATAAAAATAAATGTTTTTTTTTTTTTTTAAATGAAGGACAAATAGTGAACCTGGGCATGCTGGCATAGGCCTGAAATTTTAGCACTTGAAAAGATAAAGCAGGAGGATTGCTGCCAATTCCAGGCCACTTATTTAGGTCACCTTAAATAAGAACTCCAGAGCAAGACAGTGTCTTAAAAAGGAAAAACAAAACAAAGAAACGAAGAAACAAAACTAAGGGCTGAGAAAATAGCTCAGAAAGTAGAGTGCTTGTCTTGTGAGCATGAAGGCATAAAGTCAATAGATAGGACCTGGGTGGGGGCGATAGAGGATTTGTACTTTCAGAACTGCAGAGGCGGAGACAGGAGGACCCTGAAGCTTGCTAGCCAGCCAGCCTGACTGACAGGTGAGTTCCATGTCAGTGAGAGATTCTGTCTCAAAACGGGGATAGAAGGTTGGTAGTGACTGAAGAATGATACCCAAGGCTATACTCAGGCCTTGATATTCGAATGTATGTGCACACACACATAAATAACTACAAATAAACTACCCATCAATGAACATTACTTTAAAATACAGCTTTATAATGGAACACTAAACCAGTTATTAAAATCCAATGTTGCCGTCCCTTTTAATCAGTGGAGGCCAGCTCATTCTTTTGGTCTCAGCTTAAGAAGTGAATCTCAAGAGCACCTCCTCTGTTGGTGCTTTGGCCTCCTCTTTAGTATACCTTGTGAGCCAGCAGGTCAGACCACTCTCTTCCCCGGTGGTCTTTTATGCTCCCGAAACACTGGCTTCCTTAACTAATGGTGGCAGCTTTCAGTTACCATGATGTTTCACTAGCCAAAGCAAATCACATGGCCAAGTTCAGCACCATGAAAGAAGGGGGCTCAAGGGCAAGAATGTTGAAGAGCAAGATTCTTTAGAGGCCATTAGTTCAACAAACTATCACATAAGTATGCAATTCATTCATCAAAGATTTATTAGACACCTAACATGGCCAGGCATTTTACCAGATGCTGGGAACAGAGAGCAAGACAGACATGCTTCCTTCTGATTTACTCTGTTGGGAAGAAGACAATGAACAATCAATAAACTACAAATGTGTCTAAGTGTTATTAAGGACTTCAAATTACTATAGAAACTTAGGAGAAGGAACAAGGAAAGGAGTCTCTAAGAAATAATGCTTAAACTAAGACCCAAAGATGGGTTGGCAGCGTTCACTAAATAAAGGAAGAGGCAGGAAAGCATTCCAGAGAAAAACCAACAAAGTGAGCACACACACTATTGCATTAGCAAACTGGGAAAGAGCATGTATTTGACAAATACACCATCAAAATCTTTCAACAGAATACTAAACGAAGATTTGAAATGTGTATATTTCTGCATATGAAAATTATAGAAGCATGTATTTTTGTTTCATTTGTGTGTAAATATGTATAGGCATGCATGTGCCATGTTTCGCACATGGAGGTCAGAGGGCAACTTTGTGGAATTCCAGGAATCAAACTCATTTGGAAGGTATGACAGCCTTCAAGAGCCTTCACCTGCTGGGCTGTTTGCCAGACTAGACATTGTTTTTATATATGGGGCAAGCTGTTTTTAATTTGGACTAAAACATTTTCTAATTGTGTGTGGGAACATTGCTGTCAGTTTACAACTTTCTTCAAACGTTGCAACCTCTGGAGCTAGTGCCCAAGGCGAAGGTTGCCCATGTCAGCCACGCCAGAACTCAGACAGTGTCCAAAGCACACAAGAGCCTGGGGATTTGGTTTCTGCAGGCAGGTCACAAGGCAAAGATTAAGCTCTGTCAAAAATGCTTTTGCCAATCTCTTTAAAAGCCCATAAAACAGCACGGGTTCACAGTGAGGATAGATTGCTCAAGTCCTTCAGGTGGATCCCATCTCGAGTACTTGTCTGGAGCCAGAGTGAAAAGAACAAATAGTTTATCTTTAAATACCAGGAGCTCAGCTAGTTCAGAGAGATGCTCCCAGGGGAAGCCAGGCAGCATGCAGGTGGAGAAAAGGCAGCACCAGCTCCCACCAGAGGCTTGTACCAGGTCTCACTCCAACAGAAAGGGTAGAGGACAGAGCTTCCTTACCATTGCTATGGTTACTATCTTTTCCTCTTTGTCAAGCAAATATGGCTACATTTGCTTAACCTAAATTTCTTCACAACTCCCCTGTAAGCCAAGGAATGTGCTAGGGATGCTAAGAAACACTTACAAATAACTATGGTTGGGCACAGAGGTACCCTTAGGAAGATGAGTCAGAAGTGTCACAAGTTCAAAGCCAGCCTGACTTCAGTATAAGACTGTCTCAAAAATCAAAACAACATAACAAACAAACATAACCTCATTTGGGGCATCACAAAATTTATGTTCTTGAAGTAGTCAAAGGTTTTTGTTATGTTTGTTTTTTTGAGACAGGGTTTCTGTTTTAGCCCTGGCTGTCCTGGAACTCACTTCTGTAGACCAGGCTTGCCTCAAACTCACAGAGATCCACTGGCCTCTGCCTACCCGGAGATTAAAGATCTGCACCACCAGCTGGCTGAAGTACTCAGAGTAAAAAAAAAACAAACAAAACAAAACAAACAAACAAAAAAAACCAACAACAAAAAAAAAAAAAACAGAAACAAATATTCAGTATGAGATGCATGTCAGGTACTGGAGGAAAGGTTCAGAGTTTGCTGAACAAGCATGAGTTTGGATCTCCAGCACACATGTAAAAGATGAGCATGATGGTACATGTCTGTGGGTAGGTGGATACAGGAAGATCCTCAAGCTTGATAGACAGTCAGCCTTGTCAAAATGACAGGCTCTGGGTTCAGTGAAGAGGCTCTGTCAAAAAAATTAGGTGGAGAGTGATAGAGAAAACACTTGTGGACATGCAAACATACTTATGACACATACCTATGCAAACAAAAATTCTAAGTAGGTAACACAACAAAGTAAAACATGCTAAACTATGAACTGGAAAGGCCACAGTCATGGACATACCTATGGTAGGAATGGTTGTCACAATCTCTCCCAGCTTCAATTTGTACAAGATGGTGGTTTTGCCAGCTGCATCCAAGCCCACCATGAGAATCCGCATTTCCTTTTTCCCAAATAGACTTTTAAACAGCTTTTCAAAAACATTCCCCATTGTAGCTGAATTCTGTAACCTGAATGAAAAGCAAGTGGAGCAATTATTCTTCATTGGTGCATATGTATGCATGTAAACACATATACATATATATATATATACACATACATATATGTATATATATATGTATATATATGTATGCAATATATATGTATATATATATATGTATGCAATAGACATATAATACATGGCACAATTAGTGGTGGTTTCTAGTAAGGGTTAAGTACAGCTTGGCCAATAAGGAAGAGTGTATCTCATTTGTAAAAGGAGACACCACTAAACCATCCTCTGATGCTCTGCCAGAAAACTCTATTTTTCACTGCAGCATCCAAGTGGGATGTGGGAAGCACAGCCTCAGGGCCATTTTTTTGGTGGCAGACTCTAGTCACCTTAACTGTGGAAGAAATGCCACAACTGATAATTTATAGAGCAGATATTCTGTTTTCCACAATATGAAGCAAAGTCCTTAAGGTGGGTAAAACATCAATATCCCTAGGAAACTGTAGTTAGTTGCCCTTGGCTGGCAGATGATACCAACACCCAGAGAAGAATTAGGAAGTTTCAGAGTTGAAATATTAAGTGTTGGGGAATTTCACCACGACACATATCAAGCAGGCAGACTTGAGGGAATACTTAAGCATCCAGCATCCAATGGGAATGACCATCTTCTTAAAATGTATGTTCTGATACAAATACGGTTGACTGCAGAGGGCCATGAATGCTCATGAACCAAGGACAACTACCAGATCAAGCAAAAGATAATCACCAGAGCCTCCCTGTGGCCCCTCCCAGTCATTACTCCCTAGAAGGTAATTATTCTGTTGACCTCTAACGGGTTAAACATTAGCGTTTTATTTTTCAATACAATACCTGGAAGGTTATCTGACAAAGCAATGAAGTCAGATGAGTTTTTGCAGAAAATTCGTCTATGTTCTAACAGATCAGCCTGTTTGAATGGTGTAATATTTCAAAGACTTGTAAAAGCAGAACTATGCTGCACATCCGCTACACACACTCTTTGCTCAACAATGACTGTTCAAAAAGACATTCTAGGGTTGGGACTGAAGTCCACACCCTCCCCACCCCACTCCCACCCCACCCCAAAAAAAACTTCAAACAAACAAAACCCCACAATATCCTTGTTTCAGAAATTAGGGTTTTCCTTCTCAAGTTGTTCACCAAGGAAACTTTTACACACAGTGTGTGTGTGAAGGACAGCCTTCACACACTGAATTCATTCAGATTCTAATGACTCAAAGGGTAGGGTCGCAGATTCCAGAAGATCTACCTTGGAAAGTCAACAATTGCTACAACCGTTTAGTGTCACGGACTAAGGCCAAGTACACACCACTCCATTCTACCACGAGAGACATTTCTCCTGTACACACATGAGAGCCAAAAAGATCGAAGAAAGAATGACTGCTCTCCCCATTCATAGCACTGCCGTGGTCTAAAAACCCTCCAGTACCTTGACGCATTCAAAATTCCTGGATTCCTGTAATGTTTCCGGGGGGGGTGGGGGGAAGAAGTGTCATAGCCCAACAAACTCAAAGGACCATTCATTGGAAGGAAAGGGAGGAACCTCCAGCTTTCAGGCCCCCGGAGGCAGGATGCCAGATGCCCCGAGTCACCGGACAGCGCACTCACGGGGTTGTCCCGCCCGTTTCCCTCCGTTCGCCTCCACGCTCCGAGGCCCTAGGCCCCACGGTGAGCAGGGAGACCCTCTGGAGTAAAGGCCATCAGCCCTAGAGCCCTTTTCCAAACATAAATGACAATGACAGTGAGACCTCAAGGGCACGAGCGAGCAGGGCCGGGCACGCGCGCCGAGAATCCGGGTCCGGGGAGGGGGTCTGTCTGGCCAGGCCGCTCCCCCGGGACAGCGGACCGCGAAGCCGCAGAGCCAGCAGAGCGTCAACCGGCGCCGCGCCGCCCGGCCCCGCAGAGGCGGGGAACCAGCGGACCCAGCCCCTTTCTGCAGGCCGCCGTCACCACGGCTCTCCGGTGTCCTGCCCGCTGACACACAGGAAACCAACCGGGCCGCGGGCCCCGCCGTCCTTTCCCCGCAGCCTGCGACTCACCTGTCTCGGCAGGGAACACCTCCTCCAAGCCAGTCCCGATCCCGCTGCTCCGCCGCGGACAGCTAGGCGAAGTCGGCTCTCAATAAAATGGCGACGGGCTGGGGGCGGGAACAGCAACCAACCAATCATCCGCTGGCTCCTGGGAACCCTTGAACCAATGCCCTCGAAGTTTCCTGAGTGACAAGAAACATAACCAATGGGAATGACGATAAGGCTGGGCGGGAGGAGGCCCGCCCCCCGCGACCTAGGCGACGGCACCAAGCTCTGGAAATGCAGGCTTCCTCTTCCAATGGGAACTCACTGCATCCGGGCGAGACGCGCCCACTTGCCCCACCCCGAGGCTACAGGCAACCAATCAGAAAACCAAAAAGAGTTCCGATTTGCGCTGCCAATCAATTCCGGGAATTCTCAAAGATTGAACGAACCCCGGGAGCATTCTGACCAATCCAGTGCTGGTTTGTGGGCGGGGCCAGGTTCACAGCGCTATTTAAGGAAATTTGCTGTGGTGGAGCTAAAAGTAGAAACTAGTTCGGAGCAGAGTTCCTGGTTGGAAATACCGAGATGCCAACATCGAAATTAGACATAAAGAAGATTTCCTATTTGGTATGGCGCTACAGTGCGGCTGTTCTTGAGTACAGACTTTCAATAATAGGGAGAAATACAGTCACCAGTACCTTCCTGGTGTCCCAGAGTCCCAGCGGAAACCTGGGACCCTTAATCAGGGTTAAGGGTATAGCTCAGTGGTAGAGCACTGCTAGACAAGCATGTCTGATGGCCTGGGTTTCAGTCCCGGACATAGCAAACATGACCTACTCTATAAGTTAACAGCTTTATTCAGTGCTAAAAGGAAACAAACTATCTAAACCATGAAGAGGCCTTAATTGTACATCACTAAGTAAGTGAAAGAAGCCTATCAGAAAAGGCGACATACTTGGCAGTAAAAACACCAAGGGTTTCAAAGGTGGAACTTAGTGCGCTTTTAGAAAAGCGAAAGTATTCTCTGTGGTAATAATGACACCATTATATGGGTGTCCGCGTCCAGGAAATGCACACAGCTAGACGCACTGCCCATTGTTTGGTTATGCTGTGTCAATGTAAGATCATCAGTAAGAACAGGTGCCTCCCTCTAACGGGGGATGTTGGTATCTGGAGAGGATGTTAGAAATGTTTTACTGTGAACCTAAAAGGAATCTAAAAATAACCCTTAAAAATTTAAGAAGAGGGCAGACAGGAGTGGTGGCTCATGTCTTTAATCCCATCCCTAGGGAGGCAGAGGCAGATGGAGCAATGAGTTCGAGACCAGCCTGGTCTACAAACCGAGTCCAGGACAACCAGACACAGAGAAACCCTGCGGGGGGTGGGGACTAGGCAGAGATATGGGGTTTTAGTGCAGTTTCCGCTCTTTTACAGGACTCAAGGTTCCTAGGACATTTGTTAGGTGTCTCAACAACCACCTGTAACTCCAGCTCCAGGGGATCTGATGCCCTTTTCTGGCTTCCTCTGGCATCCACACATATGTGGCCCACACACAAACAAATAAGAATATTTAAAACAACATCCCTGCCCATTTGACATTCATTGGAATGACTCCTTGGAATCATGAAAGCGTGTGTTTTATATATGGTATATAGCCTTTCTTTTTCACGGTGGCAAGGGATCAAACCCAGAGCCTTGCTCAGGGTAGACAAGTGCTCTACCACTGAGCTACATCTCCACACTTATATATACTTTGTGTGTGTATGTGTGTTAGTGTGATTTCCATTACTATAACAGCATCTGATATAATTGACTTAAAAAGAGAAAAGGTTTATTTTGGCTCATGGTTCCGTTTCAGTCCATGGTTGGTTAACCTCACAGTTTTGGACTGTGATGGCATCAAGGAGGGGGGGCATGATGGCACGGAGGAAGAAACCTATTTATTATAGCTGGGAAACACACGCACGCACGCACCGCATCCAAACACACACACAGGTTATATTTTTAAAAAGTAGCTGAGAGAGAAATTGTGCACTAATTTTATAAATAGGAAATTCGGCCTATTAGAAACAAGTTTGAAGAGGACTAAGAATGCAATCCAGGGGTAGGGAGTTCTGTCATGTCCATTCCATCCACAGCTCAGAAAAGAGGAAGAGAGTGAGAGAAAGGTAAGTTACAACAAGCATGAATTGCTTGTGGTGACACTGATGTATGGCAGAAGCATCTTCCCTAATAGAAAGCATTTTCTGTCAATCAGATGCTTGCAAAGCGTGAAGGACACAATGTGCCCTTGGGGAAAAAAAGGAGAAAGTTTCACACTGGAAATGTGCTATTGGCTCAGAGTTTAAACTCTGCTGACTGGGCTGAGGGAGCATGTAGCTCTGTGGCGGAGCCCTTGCCAAGACATGTAAGGCTCTGGGTAGCATCCTCAGCACCCAAAAAAGAAACAAACATACAACAACAACAACATCAAAAAAAAAAAAACCTTCATTGTCAACTTGACTGGATTTGGTGTCCCCTAGGAAGCACAGCTCTGGGCTTACCTCAGAGAGGATTCCCTGAGACAGGAAGTGGGCAACCTGAATGTGGGCGGCACTGCTCCATGTCCTGGGCTCCTGGGATGGTGAATGTGCTGGCTAGTTTTATGTCAACTTGGCACACGCTAGAGTCATCAGAGAGCAGGGAGCCTCCATGGAGAAAATGTCTCCTTAAGACTTGGCTGTAGGGGCTGGAGAGATGGCTCAGAGGTAGTCTTCAAGACGTCCTGAGTTCAAGTCCCAGCAACCGTATGGTGGCTCACAACCATCTACAATGAGATCTGGCATCCTCTTTTGGTGTGTAGGTGTACATGCAGACAGAACATTGTATACATAATAAATAAATAAATCTTTTTTTAAAAAAAGATCTAGCTATATAGGCAAGCCTATTGGGCAATTCCTTAATTAGTGATTGATGGGGAAGGTCCCAGCCCATTGTGGGTGGGGCCACCCCCAGGCTGGTGGTCCTGGGTTCTATAAGAAAGCACAGTGAGTGTTTTTGTTTGCTTGCTTTTCCTTCCTTCCTTCCTTCCTTCCTTCCTTCCTTCCTTCCTTCCTTCCTTGCTTTCTTTCCTTCTTTCTTCTTTGAGTCAGGGTTTCTCTGTGTAGCCTTGGCTGTCCTGGACTTACTTTGTAGACCAGGCTGGCCTCACAGAGATCTGCCTGCCTCTACCTCCCCGAGTGCTGGGATTATAGGCCTGCATCAGCATGCCCAGCTGAACTTTCTTATAGAACGATAATCATTCCATGAGGTGCAAGCCAGTAAGCAGCATCCCTCCACAGCTACTGCACAAACTCCTACCTCTAGGTTCCTGCCTTGTTTGAGTTCCTGCCCCCACTGTTTTTGATGACAAACTTTCATATGGAACTGTGAGTGAAATAAACCCTCTCCTTCCCAAGTTGCTTCTGGTCATGGTATTTCATTGGAGCAATAATCACCCTGAGACAGTGAATGAAAAGAAAAAAGGAGGAAGACATCTGTGCATGAGCATTCATCAATCTGCTTTCTGACTGCAGCTCCGATGTGAGCAGCAAGCAGCCTTGCTCTCCTGCCGCACAGACCCCATCATGATGGACTGTATCCCTTAAACTGCAAGCCAGAATAGACACTTCCTCCTTAGCTTGCTTTTGTCGGGGATTTTACCACAGCAATGAGAAAAAATAATTAATACATTATATTAGTTATAATAACTGCAGACATAGTATAGACAGCTGGCTCAACTGTGTGTCTGCTGGATCAGCTACTGGGCACAAAGGGTCTCTGGGTAATTTTCTACTTCTCACATACAACATTAGAGCTTAGAGAGTTTGAGGGCTGAGACGGAAATGTAAGCCAGCGGTTGAGTGCTTACACTAGCTTGTATGAAGCCCTGGGTTTGCTCTTCAGCACCAAAAACAAAACAACAGCAAAACAGGCAATGTATCCACACTCCTTTCCCCCAAGCACTATCCTCCTTAACGATTGTCTCCTGGCTCTAGAGAAGCCCCTCTCTACACCTTCTTTGCTCTAGAAACAGCTCTCAAGGACACGCACCCCTTAGGTAAAACCTTAATGCACACCTCCACCTGCCCCTAGGAGTTTTACTGAGAACCATCACAGTCAGTAATGTTACTATAATCAACAGCAGGTGGTGGGACCAGTAAGGTTGTAAGTGACTTGGCCCCTCCCTAGGAACTTTGACCCAGATGCAGGAAGGCTAAGGAGGCCACCTTCTGAACACTCCCTTGACAGAAACGCAGGCAGCTTTCTGGCCCCACAACATGGATGTGCAGAGTCAGGCAGCCAGGCAAGTGCACCGGTGCTCCGATCCCTGAAAAGGATCATCTGGTTTCCATAGCAACAGTACTTCCCTTCCACGGAAAATCCTAACATGTCCCCTGCCCACTCAGACTTTCCAGAATGAATTGATTTCTATGGCTATAGATGTTTGTCTTTATCTGTCAAAGAGCAAATAGGAATTCCTTTGAAATCAGCTCTCCCTGCCCCCAGCCTATCCCTGCACGGCTGGAATGCTGCATTGCACCAGTGGTTCTTCCTTTACAAAGTCCTACAGCCTCTCTCCCTGCTGTTCCCTTCGCTAGCCCTGCGCATCCCTTCAGGAAGTAGCTTTCAATGACAGAAAACAGACAGATGGCAACTGCATCATCCCAAGCTTGGCTGTGACGGGGCTGTGAAGCTGTTCCTGGGGTAGGATGACCAGTGGGTTAGGACTGGAATGGCAAGCATAAGGCTGTCTGCCTACACAGTGTCTCAGTCTTTGCCATTTTGCTATTACAGCTTTGCTTCTTCCGCTAAGCCACTGCTTTCCCGGCGATACACTCTTAAATGGCACCTATGAATACATTAGGTTACTAATGTGGAATAATCTTGGGAAGGATGGGAGGTGCGAAGGGGAGGGTGTAAAGGGAACTCTGAAAATTGCCTTTGCTGCACAATGCCCTCAGTGAGATGTTCTCCGAGCCTGGGCTCTCGGACCCACTGCAGACACCACTGAAAATTAAAATGCAGTGGAAAATTTGCTGAACAGAATGGCTCACAAATCATCTGCATACAAGCCAGCTGG